CACCGATTAGCTGGAGTCCAGCGCTGATCCTGGTGCTTCTGCTGAGCCCTGACAGCCCTGCAGCTCCAGCTGTCTTTGACTCAGGCTTGTGCAGTGCTGCCGCCGGTTCAGCTCATTCCCCTCCCCCGCTACCATTCTTTAGGATGGTCACATATCACCTCCCAGGTGCCAACGTACCACAGGTGGTATGTGTACCACCGGTTGAAAAGCCCTGGTATAGATCCATTTGTAATGGATTCGGCACTCTCTGTCTTAAATTTTCTCTTTCTGTGGTTTAGTATGGAAATAAACTTGACAATATCTGTTATCTTGGTTTCCAGCTTCATGGAAAAGAACATTTTAAGGAATGCTTAAACTGAAATGTTTTCTAAAATTGACTATTAATTCATAAATATGACATGGGATTTTGTATATCCTCAGGTATTTCAGAATATTCATTTAGATACTCTGTAATATTCCAAACAAGTAAAGAATGAAAACTGATATTTAAACTACTATATTTCCTTTCTAACGTACAAAATTAATAAGTCATTCATGATTTTGAGATGCCCCCCAGAACAATATTCATCTCATAAGGGACTGGAGCTGCATTAAGAGATTATCAGTAAAACAAGTTTTATTCATGGCTATCCAATTATTGTTAGGCCCCTAAAATAAAGGATCTCTTATTTTTTTTTAATTGAAAATTTTTGCAGTTTTACAATAAAATAATCCCCCTCTCCCACCCCCCCTCCCACCCATCATCCTCTCCCCTTCTTCCCAGAGCTGAATACAGGGTTAATAAATACAACTTAAATAAACATCAAACAATTATAAATACATTCAAAAAAACAACAAAATTTTAAATACTTTAACTCCAATATATAAAAACAAAACAAAACAATAGTTCTAATCGTACCTTAAGCATAAATTATTCAAAAGCTAGATAATACTTTTTAATCTCATATTTGTGCTGTATAAAATTCACCCGTCTTTTCCACACCAAAAAATATTTCTCTTGAGATTGATCTTTCAAATAAGCCGAAATTTTTGCCATTTCAGATAAATAAGAAACTTTAAGAAACCATTCCTCTAAAGTAGGCAAAAACTCCTTCTTCCAGTATTGCCCTATCAGCAGCCTTGCCGCTGTAATTAAATTCAACATTAAAATAATTTCTTTATCATCACAATCAACGATAATACCTAACAAAAACAGTTGTGGTGTAAATTTTATCCTTCTATTAAAATTTTTTTGAATATTCCACCAAATCTTAATTCAAAAAGCCTTTATGTTTTTACATGACCACCAAATATTATAATATGTTGCATCCAAACAACCACATCTCCAACATTTAGGCTGCAGATTTGGATACATACGAGACATCTTCTGTGGATCAAGGTGTCACCTTGAAAACATTTTGTAAAAATTTTCTCGTAAATTTTGAGCTTGTGTAAATTTAACATTTCTCACCCAAATTATCTCCCATGTATCTAATAAGATCGGCTCTTCAAAATTTTGAGCCCATTTAACCATACAATCTTTAACTAATTCTGTTTCTGAATCTAATTCCACTAAAACACCATAAATTCTTTTTATATGAGTTCGACTTTGATCTTTAATTTGTTTCAACAAAATCACATCCTCGCTAATCAAACCCACTTTTTGGTCTATCCTCCACCTTTCTAATAATTGTCTATACTGAAACCAAGAATAATAAATATTTTCTTGTAATAATTCATCCATAGATTTTAATTGCCAATTTTTCCCATCCCAATTAAGTAATTGTTTATAAGAAATGCTATCCATCTTCACTCCTTTTCTTATTCCTGCTATCGTATGCCCTGGGATTGCCCACAATGGGATTCTGGAATCTATTCTGTAATATTTCTTCCAAACTCGCAATAAAGAAATTCTTAAAATATGAGACTTAAAGACCCTATCCACCTTTTTATTATATATTAAATAGGATCTCTTATTTTTGACAATTCAACACTTTGACTTGTATTCAACCACTATCTCTTGAGACCATAAGGCCCAGTTGCCCATATGAACTCATATCTAAAACAAAAACAGACCGGTAGCTGTTAGTTTTAAAGATATATAATATTACTTAGCAACAATTTCCCCTTTTCACTTCACAAAATGATTCTTATTATCTTACCCAGTGAAGAACAGGAGGCAATTTTTGGAAGGAAATACCTGAGGTAATACATTATTATCATCTTGAATTCTGGACTGGCTACTACTGAACTGTTGTATGATAGACAGAAAGTGATAAATATTGCTACTGGGACAAATATAGTCAATTAGAGCATCCAGAAAGATAGGAAAAAGGATAGCTAGTACAATATATATAATCTACAGTGCATTTCCATAAGGCATAAACATCAGAAATTTTGAATCACAGCATACTTTATACTTGTGCTATAAACTGAATGTTATATTAAAGCATTTGGCTAGAACTTCTACTGTGAACTATTTAAGGAAAATATCCATGATTTTGAAATATTAAATTCACATGGTTGAAGCAGACTTTTCAAAGAACATGTTCTGAGTTAGTAAATTAATGTTAAATTTCTGCTTTATTTACTAGGATGAATTTGTATATACTGTATATACAGGTAGTCCACGAGGTACGAACTTAATGGAGCCTGGCCATTAGGCTCAAAAGTAAAAAAAAAAAAAAAAAAGTCAAATGAATCAGATTCAATTTTACAAATTTTTAAAATCAAATTCATTAATTGAATCAAATTGATCATTAAATGAATTAAGATCTGACTTACTATTTCCTCCGATTTTTTAACTGACTGCTGCCTGAACTGAGAGGCTTTCCTCGGTGCTGCCGGCCACCCATCACCTGTTTCAGGTGCAGCCTTCCACTCAGGAACTAAATGACCTCCAAGCAGACTACAGAGCTCTCTGTTTGCAACTGCTTTTGGAAAAAACCCACGCTGCTAGTCAGCTCAAACTTCTTCAGACAGCTGCCCAGAACTCTCCGACTGCAACTGCCATTAATTAGTTTAAGAGTCTCCAGCTAGGCACCCAGAGGGAGATGGGGGAGGGGTTTACAGAACTGTTGGTTTGCAACAGTAACAGAAATGGAAGGGCCCTTGAGGTCATCTAGTCTAACCCACTGCTCTCACAAGAGAGTATTCCTGATAAATGCCCATCCAGTCTTTTTAAAAACTTTCAGTAATGGGGCACCCACAACTTCTGGAGGTAATTTAAATTTAAAACATACAAACTACAGTAACATATGCTAATCTCCAAAATAAAAGCAAGGAAACACAACATTATAGAACGCTTTGTGTAGATGCTGGTTAGTATTTCTACAAGCAAACAATAGTTTGCAAAGTACAGTACTTAAAAAGAAGAGGTTTCCAAAGTGCTATAGAGCAGAGGTGTCAAACTCGCAACGTCACATGACGTGTCACGACTATTGCGACTTTTTCCCCATTGCTGGCAATGGGGTGGGCACGGTTTTGGCATGATGCATCCGGCCGGCAGTTTGACACCCCTGCTATAGAGTAACAAAAAATTTTTTTTTAAATACTTACACAAGCAATTCTAGCACTCCAGTCCCTTGGCGCAGGTTGCAAAAATCACCGGCTCTTTTTTGGCCATGTGATCAGGGACAAAAAAAAACCCAACACCTTTCCAGCTTCCGGAAATTGCATTCGTAACCTGAACAGCACAGGCAACTCACAGAGTTAAAATGGCCACTGCTTGTAGCAGAGATTGAATTCAAGTCAATGGCTACAGAGGCCTCTTTTTGGTCATAATTTTGAATTTCTAATGTAAATACCCTTTCTGAATAAATTCGTATCTGGGGGATTACCTATAAAATGGGCTCAGGGTAACTAATTTTGTCATACTGTTAAAAGTAGCAATATATACTGATTCTTAGCTATGTATGTCTATTTGTGAGGTAGAAAAATGGATCAAATACTCTCTAGCCATCCCTCTTTGTCACTAATGAACTTCAGCCCTGGTGAAACTTTTGTATCCATGGAGCATTCACATATTAAAGCTTTCAAATTTTAATTTCTTCTGTTGTTCTAATGTAGAAAAATGGACTTATATCACAATCCAAAACTTCAGTTACTCCCTGAAAAACATGTTCAGCATTTTAGCTTTAGATATTTTGGTGATCAGGTACAAAATAAAATATGGGAAATATCTGTAATGTTTGTAAAAAATAAAGTCAAAGTGCTTGTATTTAAATTTGTGCAAATGTATCAAATTATTTACTATATTGTTACACATATGGTATATTTTTATCTTCAACTTTTTGTTAAAATATCAAATATATTTCTTTTTTGTCCTAATGCTGTTTAGGATTTAATATTGGTATACCTCCTAGCCTCATATCGTAACATAACTACTTTAAGCTAAAGACCAAAGAAAATACTGATATGTTGCCATTTCTAATTATAAACTGGTATCAATTATGAGTTATCAATTCATTTTATCAAAAGCAGGTAGGAAACAAAAACAAAGCACAAGTTCTCCTGATTTTTAAACACTCAAGAGAGTTTTGAAAAATATAAAGGTAGTACACAATATACACAGCAGTTTACCAAGTTTAATATAGGAATTAGTCTTGTCTAATTTTACTATGCAAAAATGAGAAGTAAGCACAATTTATCATAAACCCATTGATTTACTACTTTAATAAAAGTGAATATTTGACAGTTGCTGACTACTCAGTATTGATACAAGCCTAATCTAACCTTACTTGCTTTTTAGGATGTGCAATCTAATTCATAAAGCATGTATTATTATGCTCTAACCTTATTTTAGCAAAATAGTCTAATGTTGTTTAACGACAATAGTGTTAAATAATTACTAATCTTATGAAATATTCAGACTAAAAAGAAAAGAAATTGAGTTACCTGAATAGAGAGTATCTGATACAAATCAAATATGTAAACTATTACAATCAAGTAAAAGTATGTTTGTAGAAGAAACAAAACTGCTTTTATTCATCAAAGAAATTAAGAGAAAGAGCAAAGAGGAAGACTGTTTCAAAATTCGTTTAATTTTTCTCATGTACAAATAGGGAAGTGAATAGCTATCATAAGGAATAGGTTGAAAATTTAGTACAAAGAAATGTTGCAAATACATGATAAATTCAAATTATTTTCTCCAGTCAGAAGTTAACATAGGCAAATGATTTAATCCCTTGCTATCATACATCAATAATGAATGTGATTTTTTTTAATTTCAATAGGATACATCTTAGTATAGAACCATGATGACATAATGGATCAACAAAACCTAGTGATATAAAGCAGAATCAATAAAAGAAATAAAGCTGGTATGAGAACCACAAGAAATTGTTAAATAATGATTTCAAGTATTTTTATTTAAATCAATGTTGCTATTAAAGAAACAACAAATAATTTCCTATTAGGAAAAAACCCTCATAATATAAATAAATAAAATATTAATAAAAACACTTAGTCACCTCCGGCAGCAGTAAGAATTATACTGTACATCTTGAGTCTGGCTTGTATTTGCATTTGTATACATTTCAAAAGACAAGTAAAGGCCAATTATATAATATGACTTTAACAATAGATAACATACCCCTTGTCATCCATTGCTAAATTCTGATTTTCTTGTGCCTCTTATCTTGCTTTCAAGTCAGCAAAGCAAATTTAAAGTGAGCTTTACAATATGTCTTTTTCAGTCATGTATTTTCTGTTTTTTCAAAATTGTCCTCATTCTCCTGAATTTCCATTGCTTCCTCGTCTTCTTCAAACATCTGTTCTTTCATGGTTCTAAATGTGAGGGATTTGGCAGCAACCTGTGCTGCTAAACCTGATGTGAAATTAAAATCTGTGGATATATGAAGTTCAGCCAATCTTTGTTTGATGGAAGACTGTTTATTTTCGAATGGTTCTATCATACTTACTCTACCCACAGCACTTTGTTTAGATTCCTCACCTTCTCCGTTGCACTGGGAACATGTTCTTTTTTCAACTTCTGGTGAGGCAGCAATGGCAACATCATGTTCATTCACTCCAAGGCCATCAAATAAATATTCCACCTTTCCTTTTTCATTTTTGGGAACATTCATTTTGTCATCAGAAATGGTTTCTTCTAGATTTTCATTTTTGCTACAATCCTGCTTGTCTCTGTCTGAATTTTTAAGTAATTCCGAATTTGGTACACAGTTCTCTGAAGTAGAAGTGTTCACTGCAGCTTAGTAAAGAGAAAAATAAAATGAATACTCTAAGTAACAAATACACAAAGTTTTGCTTTAATTTTTTTAAAAGAATAAAATTTGTATTTTACACAGATGATGTAAGACTATAAATGCTGTAAATTATATTTCCTCTTAAGAAATAATAGAACACAACATGATAAATTGTATATAGATTTCTTGTATATAATCAGATTACATCACTCAGAAATCTGGTGAACAGAAATTAATTTATAAAATACAAATTCAGGTAAGTTGGAAAAATTGGAATAATTTGCTATATAAATGAAGACTGCAAATACATCATGATTTATCATGATCTATATTAAAGATAGTTACATATTGAAATTATCATTATCATCCACCTTGATCACTAAATAGCAGTTGTTTCCACTTTTGTCTTTCTGCCTCTGAAGCTTTAAATCCCAACACAGATTTCAATTCCTGCAACACTCTCTTAGATTCTTCCCTTTCACGTTTTTGTCTCTGTCTGTCTTCCAGAGAAAAGTAATAAAAATCATCTCTCTTACACTCGTCCATATCTGTATCATCAACATATGCTTCAAGTTCCTGAAGAGAAGTGAACAAATACTTGGTTTGAGTTAGATATTACCATATCCTGCAAATTATTAACATTCTTAATCATCTATTAATTTATATTTTAAAGAAGCAGATTTCAAATGGAGTTAAAATTCCAAAGAAATTTTCTGAAATACTTATTTCTAGAATTTATTTATCATCTTAATCCACAAGGAGTGTAGGCAATGTACACCATTTAGGTGATGAAAGAAATATAAGCAAATATCTAATATGTATTATTCTGGCATCAGTGGCTCCACTGTGAACAATCTTCAAAGACCTTCTAGAAAAGCCAAGGGACTTAAATAACTATGTAGGGTTTATAGGAAATAATCAGCACTTTAAATTTCACTCAGAAATACATCAGGAATAAATGGAATTTCTAAGAATGCCCAGTAAGCCATTGTATTTTTGAACCAGCTGTAGTTTCCAGACAGTCTTTAAGAACACTTCAGGTAGAGCAAATTACCACTATCCAGTTGCAAGATGATAAGGGCGTGAAAGTCTATCCTCAGTGCATCCTGTTCCCTGTAAGGCTGCAATTAGTGTACCAATTGAAGTTGGGCAAGGCCCCTTATTGTCATAGCTTCTATCTGCTCCTCTAGAAGGATCTGAGTCTAGAAGAATCTCCAAGTTATTGAGCTATCTCTCCAGGGAAGCACAACCTCACTGAGAGTCAAAATTGATATTACCTTATCTGGAATTAAGAGGCTTCTGAATTAAGAGTCACTCTGTCTGATTTGGGTTGAGTCCAAGTCTGAACCTGATTCTCCTCATTCATTCATTCAAGCTTCCATAAACCCTATTTAACCCAGGGTGAAATATATACCAGAGAATCATCTGTATTCTAATAATACCTTACCCAAAACTGGTGTATTACTCAACCCAAGCAAGATGATAGTTAAGGCAAACTAAATTCAGTTCAGTTATCTGTGACCACCTTTCTATATTGCAGATATACAGATGCAGACTACAGAATTTCCAGTGACTGAAATCAGAAAACAATCTACTCAAAAATTGTTCACTATTTTCATTTTTTATATAAATTATGTTCCTATTACTATAATAATTGACATTCAAAATTTTTAAAAAATGCTCAGTCTTAATTTTTACCTTCAATCCTGGGAATAAACAGCCAAGTACTAAGTTTAACTGGCATTAATATTATAATTTAAATTATAATATTATAATTCTTTTTAAACACTAGCAGGAACAATTATTTCTTTTGCTAATATATAGCAAACATAGCAGGGTATAAGATGGAATTCATAACAATTTCTATCCTGTTAATAGATACAGGTAGTCCTCAATTAGCAATCACAAATGTAACCAGCAACTTTGCTGTTAAGCAAAGCAGTCAATAAGTGAAACTGCAATTGTGCTTATGATCTTACTTTAGCTTTCCTTTACTGTGTGAACGTGTGAAGTGCTCCATGAAGTGGCACCACTAAAACACATATTTGAGGAGTGTAATTTTGCATATTTGAAATGCAATATATCTATTTTAAATTCCATAATAGACAACTAGCAATACTTGCTGAACATATTCATAAATAGTGCAAAATAAAACATTAAGCAAGATTTGTCTCTTTTCCATACAGAATATGATATTTTTCTCTGCACTACTATCCAAATAGGAAGTTATTTGTTACACAAAAGATGGGAAATTCTGGGAGTTGATATGTTACACAATACTGTTTCTGAATTGAATAGAAAGGCGGGATGCAAGCTGACAAATATGCACTTCATTGATAACACACTTAATCCCTCCTCCCCTAAAAAACAAAAAAAATGTTGCAAAAATTGTAGCAGTTATTAACAGTGATTTTCCTATCTGTATGCATAAACAATAATCTCTACATTTTATTTTGTGAATAAAACCTTTATAGAGTTTTATACTTCGATTACCTGTTCTTCAGGAACAGGGTCTTTGTCTTCTATATGCACCGTTGGCTGCATTAAAGGTACCGTAGTGCAATGCTTGTTTTCACAAAATGGTTCAGATTTACCTGGAAGTAAAAAGGTATATCACAAGATTGGAATATTTGGAATAACAATGTAGAAAGATTTTCTTAAGGAGATATTATGATCTGTTCTGTTCACAATCATCAGTTTTGTTTATTACGATCTATACTTTTTCCTGTTTTATTCTTGTTTTTCAATGTAATCAGAATTAGAATATTTTAATTAGACTTGGTTCAGACACTGTACCTAAAGTCAGGAGAGCTTTCTCAAAAGGCTTTATTGTATTTAATATTCCAGTTTGTTTTTAAATTGGTCTTCTTGGCTGACTTGTGATTTGAGTGAAGAGAATAATGGGCTGTATACATGATCTAAGACTTGTGAGTATTATGTCTTAATAACTTTCAGTTAAGAACAGCTTAATACAGCAAATCTATTACTGCAGGAGGTATGTTAAATGCTAGATGCTTATTTATTTATAAATACAGAAATATTAATAAAGTGCTTTGGAAAGTAGTAAAATACTATTCAAGTTGGCTCCTGCAGCAGATGTCAATTTAACTTCATCATCTGAGCTGACTGGAATACAACTATTCAATTGAATTTAAAATTAATGAATCAGAACTCTATACATTCCCTCGGATTAAGCCTTCTTGTTGAATTATAACCCAACTGCCACAAAACAAATTTTAGCTAGGATTAGATTATTAGTAGATGACTACTACTATTTTAAAATTTTATCTGCAGAGAAAATTTACTATGAATGCATTTAATAATATCCTAATGTCAGATGATACATGTTGTGCACATGCACATGTGCACACACATTCATCAGAAGTGAGGACATTTCCTTTTAGACCTAACCCAAAAAACGTGGCTTTACAGATTCCTCTGTCCTAAATTTTCAATTTTTGTTATATGCATTTTCATACCTATGAAAATGGCATACCTTTTTTATCTGAATTTCTTCGAATCATTTTTTCCACTTGAGAAATAGCTTCTTCCCAACAACTATTGCTAGCATGCATGTGAGGCTGAATCAGTTTCAATTTTTGATCTGCAATTTGGTAGGCCTCCCAAATTAATTCTGGACTTTCCTTGGAATTCATAACCTTCTCAAGTTCATCCTCTAGAATTATCATTCTGTAAAAACAAAAAAGAAAATCTCAGACAACACTTAGTGGATGCCTAACAGTTTTGATTACTAAATAAAGGTTATTAGCCTATTAAGACAAAAAAAGGTATATAAATTTGCATACAAATACCATGGGAGATTGCAATGTAAGATAATCACAAAATCAACTTTTATGGTAATAAGATGTTAATATACAAAAAACTAAATCATGAACAGTAAGGAACAAGCAGTAAAGAAATACATATACTAGAATTTGGTAGAGCAGCCATGAAGGCATTGGAAAAAATATTCAGATTTGTCTATACCAGTGGTGGGGAACCTATGGCACGGGTGCCAGGAGTGGCACTCAGAGCCTTCTCTGTGAGCACGCATGCCACTGCCCCAGCCCTGCCACCCCCCATGGCCCGCTTTTCACCAGCAGCCCCCCCGGAGGAGTCGCCCTGGGTGCAGCCTGTGCGGAGCAGCGCAGTCAAGGACATGGCAGCTGGGCAGCGGGGACAAGACTCCGCCCTCGTGCCCCATCGTGTACAGATGCTGCTGTGGGGTGCGGACAGAGGGCGTGGCTGCCATAACGCTGTTGGGCTGCCTGCGCGATCTGCTGTGGTGGGCCATGGAGGTGGTGGGTAGCCCTGTAAGCAGGAGAGGCGGGGGCAGGTCAGGGGCAAGGCACTTGGTCTCTAAAAGGTTTGCCATCACTGGTCTATACTGACAAATATCTGAACAGTACAAACAATGGTATTCCTTGTGACACTCTATGAAAGTGAAAGTTAAACTTTGAAGAAACAGGATAGGACATATATGGACACTTTTGAACTTTGCTGTTAGAGAAGATTCCTGAGAATCTTCTGTGCACAGTCACGAACACTAAACAATGGGTTGTCAAAAAAATCAACCCCAAGTTTTCACTTGAGGCACAAATAATGGGGCTCTCCTAATCTAATAGTGGCAAATGGGTGCATTATTGGAAGACATGAAAGGCAAAGCTAGGGACAGATTGTGATGAATAAAATTTATCTATAGTGTTGCTAAGAATTGACGGCAACATGATGGAACCTAATCAATAACAAAAGCACTTGGAATGGCTCAAAAACTGAAAATTAATGCAAGCATTGGAAGTAGCAAGTTTTGTTTCTTACACTGATTACGAGCTAGGTTTCTTAGAAAGGCTAGAGATAAGTCCTTAAATTCCTAACAAAATGAAGAACTATATACATACATGCTTTCCTTTATACATAAGGGGTTCATCTCATGTCATTATATACCCCTGGATGATTGTCTTTGTACTGTTGTTCTGTTATGTTTTATGTGTTTTTTATTGTTAGCCGCCCAGAGTCCTTCGGGAGTGGGGCGGCTTATAAGTTTTAAAAATAAATAAATAATAAATAAATATCTCTTTAAATTGTTAGGTCTTATGTGAATTGTGAGAGTGTTCAACAAAGTGGTCAGCAATGTAACACCTGCCATACATAAAGTCTGTTTTTATTTAAAAAAAAATAACTAAAAAGTGAAGCTATATAATCAAATCAGATTTTTATGCCTTTGAATCAGTCTTGTCTCATGATGACAGCCTGGACAAGTCTATAAAGTTTTCTTGGCAACATTTTTGTAAGCAATGCTTTCTTCTTAGGGCTGAGAAAGAGTGACTGGCTTTGTGCCTAAAAAAGACAGGACTAGAACCCATGATCTCTGGGTTCCTAGTCTGGTAGGCTCTCATTATATATGTTACATATAAGTAATACTAATAATAATAAAGTTGGAAGGGACTTTGGAGGTCATCTAGTCCAACCCCCTGCTCAGGCAGGAAACCCTATACCATTTCGGACAAATGGCTGTCCAATCTCTTCTTAAAAACTTCCAGCGTTGGAGCATTCACCACTTCTGGAAGCAAGTTGTTCCACTGGTTAATTGTTCTATCTGTCAGGAAGTTTCTCCTTAGTTCTAGGTTGCTTCTCTCCTTGATTAGTTTCCATCTGTTGCTTCTTGTCCTGTCTTCAGGTGCTTTAGAAAACAGTTTTGATTCCCTCTTCTTTATGGCAGCCCCTGAGATATTGGAACACTGCTATCATGTCCCCCCTCATCCTTCTCTTCATCAAACTAGACATACCCAATTCCAGCAACCGTTCCTTATGTGTTTTAGCCTCCAGTCCCCTAATCATCTTTGTTGCTCTTCTCTGTACTCTTTCTAGAGTCTCAACATCTTTTTTACATCGTGGTGATCAAAACTGGATGCAGTATTCTAAGTGTGGCCTTACCAAAGCATTGTAAAGTGGTATTAATACTTCACGTGATCTTGATTCTATCCCTCTGTTAATGCAGCCTAGCACTGTGTTGGCTTTTTTGGCAACTGCAGCACACTGCTGGCTCATATTTAAGTGATTGTCCACTAGGGCTGTAGTCCACTAGTAATTGTTGATACCTGTATAAGTGCATGGTATAGAATTATTTCAGAAAAAGATTTATTAAAGTCAGTGAACTGACCTATAAGTAGGCTGGCAGAGAGTTGCATTGTCAGTTCCCTCTAAACAAGTGAATTAAAATGCTGGCAATAATAATTCTAAAGGGTTAATATGAACTATACTGTTGATGTATCTGACCACAGAAAAGTGGTTGAACAAAAACAGTAGTAGAACATTTGTATTTCTTTAGTGGAATACCAATTTATGGTGAAATTGGCTGTCAGTAGTAATCCATCAAGCATTTTACACACGTTTCACACATAGAAGAAAAAAATATTAATTAGATTAATTTAGAATAACAAGAATAAGGAAGTAACAGTAATAACTATCTCCACCAATCATGGTAAAATTGATATTGAGTGATTTTTTAAAAGTACAACTAAAACTAGAATTATAACTATGAGAAATTATTTGCATGTTTAACTTACTCATTCAATAGGGCTTTTAGATGGAGTTGCAAACTGCGCACAGCAGTGTGGAGATGGCTTAGGGATCCTGATTTTGGTTTAGCTTTGACTGGACGTTCCAAGTAAGATTGATGATGTGTTTCAAAATACCGGTAAAATTCATAACTCCGTTTAAGTTCTTCTAAACAAGCAGCATGAGCATGTGGCAGACCTTGAATTATATCAGAAAAGATACAAAGAGGCAAACTTTCTGGTGTAATCAGGCTCCTGAGAGATGCATTAGAGGGAGATAACAGAAGAAGTAGTCGCCTAAAGAATTCAGAACTTTGACCGACCCAAAGCTGAAATAAAACCTAAGAAACAAAAGGAATCAATCATTATCTATTTTTCCTATTTTCCCATGAATAGTATATTTAAGCAAAGCAATGACAGTCTATCTTGAATGGGAGAGGTGGAGCAAAAATATTTTAAATAATTTAAATTAAATAAATTATCTTGAATTAAATATTGACCTAGCCATTAGAACTATGCTTATCACTTTACTCTATCCCCCCCCCCCAAAGGTTAATTCTTTGGGGCAGAGATTTAACACCTGCATATAGAGGTAGTCATTGCCTTATGATAGCAAATGGGTTCAGAACTGCTGTTGCTAAGTGATATGTTCATAAAACACATCAAATGATGCCAATTAGTGAAAGCAATTCTGGCAGTCCTGGTTGTTGTCATTTAATAAGGACAGTACAGGTATGTAAGCCTCACATGACCATGGCTTCTTACTTCCTGCTGGCTTCCCTAATGACCTTGCCTGTGGGAAGCTGGATGGAATTGTCAGGCATAGTGATCATGTAATCACAATTCACTGTGATGTAATCTCAGGGTGGGTGCCAAGCACCCAGACTGTGATCATGTGATCCCAGGGATGGTGACAACTGAAATTACAGAGACTTGTCATAAATACCATTTGTTCAATGCTGTCATGACGTTGAATGGTTGCTGAATGAATAGTCCTACCATAAGGACTAGTTGTACAAACATAATAAAAAATGAGGTAATCTTACATACATTATAAATTATCTGTAATTTATTTCGTATGCTGAGTTTCTTTAGTACAATAGTACATGGGGAAAATTATTTTTTGTTATCAATTTATACTGAAAATTAAAATACTCTTTTCATAATAAAATCATGCAAAAATATTACTTATCCGCTAAAATGTATTATGTTATAGTGACTTAATTGTGAACATACAAAGTACATCCAAAGGTTCTTCTTGTAAATTGGCATGTAAATTCCATGGTTTGATTCAAAAGACTAGGCTTACCAAATTATAATGGCAAGTACAAGCATGAATGCCTGCTCATACTATAGCTATGAGTCATGATTAGGGTTATTCAGACCCGAACCATACTATGTCTTAGCATGAACTGCAAACGCATTCAAAGGAAGTTACAAAAATTATATAAATCTAATGCATTTCAAACTTTAAAATAATAGTATAATTCAGTTTAGCTTCTGCAGGCTGAAAGCAAAGACAGAATAGTTGATATATGATCAGTGAACTGATACTAGATTACCTTTAGTGCAGGCAAGCTGAAGCCATCTGTGAGGTTGTGTGCTTCTTCTTCAGACACTTGTTCTTCATTTAATCCCAAACCAAGCTCCTTAAAAGGCACCACACATATGTAATTTGTGACACTGTCACTCTCAGAATTCAGTGGGTAAGTTTACTTAGTGTTAAGGTTGTTAAAGAACCTTTTGCATCACATGCAATATTGACAAATATTATGTGGAAAGAAATAATTTATCTACTTTATAAAATTAAACAGCCAACCATAGAGTTGCAGATGAAACAATTTAGATTTAGTTCAAACAAGTTGCTGGAGCAAAAACAAACTGGGCAAAAAATTGTGAAATAAGATAATTTGAGTGATTCCACAGATTTAATCGACTGAACATTTGAATGATTACAGTTATAATCATGTTACAGTCACACCAAACTCAGGGATTTCAGCTTGAAAATCCATTAGCAGAGAATCAGGATCTCAGCATTTCTAGTTCAAAAACTGAACAAATTTATTAGTTACCTAAGTCCAATTATATGCATACTAAGACTCATAGTCTAGGCCAGGGGTAGGCAACCTTGGCTCTTTTATGACTCGTGGCCTTCAACTCCCAGAATTCCTGAGGAGTTGAAGTCCACGAGTCATAAAAGAGCCAAGGTTGCCTACCTCTGGTCTAGGCCCATGAATCTTATATGTGGCATAAAATGCCCACTTGACAAAGATAGATGAACTTTTTTTTTGAAAAAGATGTATGGATAATTTGTCAGTGAAAATAGACTGATTATAAAACAGCAAGATGATCAAATTGAAAGGAACTTTTAAGAGAAAGGGTGGAATATAGAACTGTTAAGTAAAAACGTGGCAGTTAACCAAATTCTTCTTACATAGCAGCCAGTCATTGTGATATGCTAATTTCCTCCTCCATAATATATTATTTTTAAAAGGATATTGTTTAAGCATATACAAAGTAGCAAGTCTTGAAGCTCTGAAGTTGGCTCTTACTGATCGATACACAGCTTTTCGAAGACCAATCAGATGCTGATAGGGATGTTGTCCACCTTTATTATATGGGCAAGCAGCACTAACCCTGTCAAGCAAACTTGAAAAGTAAAATGTGATACAACTGTACAGGTGTCCTAAAGAATGCTAAAAATATAAATATAAATCAATAATTTATCTAAACTTATAGAATATATCTTCATATATCTCGACGTACTGTTTCAATTTACAAATTGAAATATTATGTAGCAAATAAGCCATTTACTAAAATATTGACAAAGGTTAAAATTTAAATGAAAATGCACTGGGGATTGGATTTCTACTTTTTTCTTTTCTATTCTGTAAAATCAACAGCTCTGAAATTCTTAATTTAAGACCTATTAATTTGGATCTAAACAACAAAATGGCTTTAAATTTATTTGGCAATGCTTAAAATAATAAAATTAACTATACAGTTAAACAAAAAATGGATTTACTTTTAAAACAGGCATTCTGTTTCTATCTGAAAATAATTTCTAAGGGATTCAGATTAATAAAAGCTTTTGGGGGCAGGCATGAAAATTGATTCAATTTCCTTTCTAGATGTATAAAAACAAAATGTTTTGGATTTGGGTATATATTTTTATACCTCTGTATCATAATCATTCATCCTGGAATATCTCTGCTTTTTGTTCACCTTCAAGGATTACTTTTTAGGTAAGTATGGATAAATATGTTTTCCTTGTTAGACCATTCTCAAAATGCGAAGAACATACTTTCACATTAAGCCTATTATTACCATTTATTGGAAGTGGCATATATTACTCTTTTTTAAATGGAATGTGAAATTATAAGCTAATATTGTCCCATTATTTTAAAATTCAAATATCTAACAAGAAATAGTGAGTTTATTCTACCATATCATCAGGAATGCCATGTTAAAACTAATTGCAACAATTTTAAAAAATATTATTTCATAAACTTGTGAAATATTTACCTTGCGGTGTTTATATATTGTATGGAAGTGTAAGAAGCATATACAACATTGTTCTATAACAATTGCTTGCAATCTGTTTCTCTCTGAAACTATTGTGTGCAATATTACTTTCTAGACTTTTATATGAAATGAAATAGAGGGCTTCTATTGCTTAAATTTTATGATGTTTGATTCTTAAAATTAAAACATATGCACCATCAATTTATGACATTGTTTTCCTCCTAGTGTTTTCTTTAATATGCAAGGTCCACTTTTTTTCAGATAAAACAAGTGTTGAACCATTGGTTTCAACAGGAACTGACTGACTTGGCTTGTTGCCCTAATCTGACATTGTGGGCTGAGAGAAAATCATTGGCCCAAAATCATCCTGCTGGCTTACATACCTAAGGCAGGACTAGAACTCAAGTCTTCTAGTTTCTATCTTGATGCCTCAAGCACCAATCTGTCTTTCAATTTTACTGAGGTTAACATACATGCCCTTTCTTATGGTATTCTCACAATAATGTTCAATGACAACAGAGAAGAATCTCTTTCATATTGCAGCTATACTTTTTAAAACACCATGTTAACAATAGGATTAACATTCTTAACTGTATATTTATTTTATCAAGAATGAACTTGGGCAACCTTATAATGAGCTTGAATATTTAAAAGAAAATGCATATTTGGTAAGTGCAATGCAGATTTATTATCCATGGTTAAGAGAACTGAAGGCAGCTACAGTTTTTAAACAAAGTTATTTGAATTGGCAAACAACAGTTTATTATCTACATGCAATTCAAAATAAGTGATCAATGTGTATGGAAATGTATAAGAAAAAGTAGAAAAATTAGAATTCTTTTTTGAACCATTCAATTTAAACTTGAATTTTACAGCTAATTCTTTCCATTTAATTAGAATGCATACTTGAGAAAAACCTGTTATAAAAATGAATTCCAAAAAATGTGGGGGGGGGGAAGAAATATTCTCATGGATGTTTCAATTTGTCAAATAATCTATAATAATTATTATTACACTGGAAAGTCAATGTGTTCATATTTGTGAAATGAGAAACAAACCTTAAAAATGTACATTTTTTTGTACATGGCATATTTGTATGTTAATATAAAAATATTTCAGTGTGTATTCATACATGGAAAACATCTGTAGTGAAGGCCTAGTCTATTAAAACTCAATAATAGGTAGCTAGAAGCTTTACTATAAATTTTAGGAAAAGGCATACACATAATCTTATGTGCGTATTGCATTTGGTATTCACATTTCAGTAGTCAAAGAGTTTACTCATCCTTGTCTCTCTTAGATTTGATCCAACAAACACTAACTCAAGTCTCCTTGACTGAAATGTATATACCGTTTAGAAATTCTGTCAAAAGTTAAGATGGCAAATAATAAATTTGTCCTTGTTACAATAATGTATCACCTTTCTACACATACAGTATGCTTGATTTGAGGGCCAGGAATTCACTTGTTATATCTGATAAAACTGAATAAATTTTAAAAATCTGAGATTGAATTTGAAAGGAAAATTTTCTTCACCATTCATTAACTTAAGATTTAACAACTGGGTGCAAATCAATTCAGACTCACAGAGTAAATCCCCTGGAAATTACTTCAGTTTCTTGAATGAGTCGCAATGCTTTCCGCACAAGGTTAGTGAAGGCGCGGCAATTAACCATTACATCTTCTAGTTGGAGATGACATTTTTTAAGAGACATTTGTAACTTTGCAATTCGTGTTATGTCCAAACCTCGCATAGTTATGTAAACCAAGAAAACTACTCCCAAAATTAATCCAAGGAATCCACTCCATAAAGAAGGAATCATCACCAGTGTGCTGATGAAGAGAAATAATAATGAAATATCCCTGCAAAAAAAAAAAAAAAAAAAAAAAACACATCTAAGTATGGCTTGATTTTCAAAGTTACAATTAATGATCCAAGATTCTATTTTTTATTTAAAAGCAAATTAACACATATACAGTACTTCATCTCTTCCTTTTCAAAATTTTTAAAATGTGTTTCTTGAATACCAATCCATTCCATCAGTCAGATTGGTAGCGCTATTGACTAAGTGTGAGTAGCTATTAACAGCCTTGAAATGGAATCTTTTAATATTTCAGCTTAAAAGGCGGTTTTGAAATTGGTTGGATTTTAGCCTAAGATTTTCACATAGAATATTTTTCAAGTGCAAATATAACTCTCATTTTAAATTGAAGCAAAATCAATTGGGCTTATTTGCAAGTAGATGTATTTCAATGTTAATAATTAAAACTGAAAACATCCATGCGAAATAAAAGTTGAATTTAAGTGATTACATTTTAATTTTCATATGTGAAATATGTTCTTGGCTTATAGTACTGCAGTACAATTCAACTACCTCTAGCTATTCCTATCACTAGCACAGACTGAAAAATTAACTGCAAATTTCTACTAACATTCACATATAGGGAAATGCAGTTTGTTCTGGATTTGATTTGTATTCTTTTCAGTAGATTTCTCAACTAATTAATCATCTCCAGCATATTTTCTTGTTTTTAAATTGTCTTAATTTATTAACCAAAGCTTTTTCTAATAACACTACTGATTAATGTTAACAATAACAAGATATAGACTATTTAAAATGTATTTAAAATACATTTGCTGATCAAATACATACTTTTAAATGTATGATATACAAAGTATTGTTCAGAAAAGAAAGCTAGTAAATAAATGTACTTGGAAAGTTCTATATACAGGAGAAAAGTGGGACTATATGTAGAGAGCTCTCTTTCTCTTTATCCATAGAATCTCTGTTAACAAATGAGGAGTCTACAGAATCAGGATCCCCATTCATATAAAGAGATAAGCCACTTATCCCCAGAGAGAGAAACTAAAGTAGGCTCATTTGCCTGTTGGGAAAATATGGTAAAGCAAAACTTACTCCTGCAAATTAGCATAGCCAATACCAAAATCAAGAGATAGGATATAAAACAAAAAGGGAAAACAAACTAAAGAATATTTCTATTTGCTGGGAGGCCATGTGTGCAAATACACTTCCTCTAACAATATACATCATACATTCACATAATATGCATGTGGCTCAAGTCAATACCAAATATTAGGAGTTGCTAGGGAGCATAGTGTTGGAAGATGTCCATATTCCTGCTGCTTGAGCTGTCCTGCAGACAGGATACTAGGATCAAATAGTTCAATCAGTTCAACATCCTCCTGTAGCAGAACTTCCTGTTGCAGGATGGCGCAGAGTGCATCTGACCGAAAACCAACATCCTTAAAGCAGAGAGAAGTAAAAAACAGCATCAACCGATCACATTCATGCACAAAAGCATTAAATTTAAATCATTTTTAATTCTGTATTTATTACATACATAGTGCTACAATATATATATTTAATTTAGTCATCTCTCATAATCTTCTCCTAGAGTGCTTATAACTTTAAATTTGCACAGAAGAATGGAAGGAAAGAAGAAAAAGTAAATAATATGCAGCTGTCTGTGTTGAGGAAAATTGAGAGGCCCATGTGTTCCCGAAGCAAATATTTAAAGTCTCCAACTGACTAGTTAGAGCAGTGGTTCTCAACCTTCCTAATGCCGCGACCCTTTAATACAGTTCCTCATGTTGTGGTGACCCCCAACCCCCCATCCAGCGGGCCGGGGGGGGGGTATCAAAAACTTGACCAAAAAAAAAAAAAGGAAAAAAATTGGGAAAGTATAGGTAGTCCTCGACTTACAACAATTCGCTTAGTGACTGTTTGAAGTTACAACAGCACTGAAAAAGCAAATTATGATCATTTTTCACACTTATGATTGTTGCAGCATCCCCAGGGTCATGTGATTTACATTCAGATGCTTGACAACTGATTCATACTTATGATGTTCAGTGTCCCAGGGTCACATGATCAATGGCCGGGGGCGTGGCCAGCTAATCACTTAGGTTGAAGAGTGCCTTGGGGGGGGCGGAATCTGTGGGTCTCTGGGATGGGACTAGGGTGGGTGCCTGCCTTCCTTCCCTCCCTTCTCTCCCCTTCTCCCTTCCTTCCTTCTTTTCTTCCTTTCCTTCACCTCCTTCTTAGTCTCTTCCTCCTTCCCTCCCTCTTTCCCACTGTCCCTTCCTTCTTTCCTTCCTTTCCTTCACCTCCCTTAGTCTCTTCCGCTTCCCTCCTCTTTCCCATTGTCCCTTCCTTCTTTCCTTCCTCCCTTCCTTTCACTTCCTTCTTAGTCTCTTCCTCCTTCCCTCCCTCTCTCCCATTGTCCCTTCCTTCCTCTTTTCTTCCTTTCCTTCACCTTCCTTAGTCCCTTCCTTCCTTCCTTCCCTCACTCTTTGTCCTTTCCTTCCTTCCCTCCCTCCCTTCCATTGTTCCTCCCTTCCTTCCCTCTCTCATTGTCCCTTCCTTCCCTCCCTCTTCGTCCTTTCCTTCCTCCTCCCCCTCCGTGCCCAGGAAGGGACAAGGGGAGGGGGACAGGCTGCCAGAGGCAGAGAAGAGCTCTGCCCAGCTCACTTGCTCAGCTTCGCCAGAAAACATGCCACTTGCTAAGTTAGTAGAAGCCCCAGGATCAGCGCCGGGCTACAGCTGATTCGCACTTCTGCTAAATTAGCAAGCGGCATGTTTTCTAGAAAGCTCGAGCAAGTTTGCTGGGCAGGAGCCAAGGAGAGCTGCTACAGCTGACCTGCTTCTTGGCTGTTCTGCAAAAGCGTGGATCAGCTGTAGAGGTTCGCCCCCCCGATCCTGGACAAAAGGGAAGGAAGGAAGGACGGAAGGGACAAGGGGAAAGAGGGAGGGAAGGAGGGACAAAGAGGGAGGCGACAGAAAGGAAGGAAGGAAGGGACAATGGGAGAGGGAGGGAAGGAGGAAGAGACCAAGAAGGAGGGAAGGAAAGGAAGTTCCAGCCAGCAGAGGCTTGGCAGCCTGGCTGACAAGGAACAGAAGAGCAGAAAGCCAAGGAGAAGAAGGTGGTGGTTTCCTCCCAAAGGGGGCTCCTTTTCTCCACCCTTTCCCTGGGTTTGTGGGGAATTTCTCGTCACCAACGCTGACAGGAGCTCCTTCAAGCCCGCCATAAGCTTTCTCACCCCCTTTGCTTCTCCCCCGCCCCGCTTTCGTGAGGATTGTGGCACCCTTGGGGAAGCCGATTGTGCTTTGAAGCTTAGGAAAGGAGGAGGAGTAGTCCCTTCCTCCTTCCCTCCCTGTCCAGCCCCGGCGGGCTCGATATGAATGGGCAGAGGAGTCGAGGACGGGCGGGGTGACAAAGGAGACCGGCGGCCATCACCAGACCTCCCGGCTGACAGGCGCAAGTTCGGGGGTCGCCAGCTGACAGGCGCAGGAGTTGGGTGCTACGGCGGCCTCCCCTTCGCTGACCTGCATGCATGAGAAGAAGTCAATCCGGTTGCTGCACAATGAGTCTCTGGGGAGGGCGGGGCCTTGCTCTGCGCCTGTGCTCTTCATGCACCCCCTGCAGGGCACATTTGGTAGAGTTCATGCAGACTGCCGCCAAGCAGTATATTTTCCACAAACAAGTGAGGTGGAGCGTAGGGGAGGAGGGAGAGAAGGCGGTTGACAAGCCCTGCCTAAGACCATCGGAAATATGTGTTTTCCGATGGTCTTAGGCGACCCCTGTGAAAGGCTCATGCGACCCCCAAAAGGGTCGCGACCCACAGGTTGAGAACCGCTGAGTTAGAGAATTTGGGTGCTAGAAAGAAAAATGCCAGTTTTGTACACCTCCTGTTTTAGGCCCTGCCCCTAATGTAGCAATACTGTATCAGGAAAAACAAATATTTGTGCCAACAATTATAGCAGCTCTGGACTTACTCAGCCTGTCTGATGGGTTTTCATTTCAACATAGCCTTTTATTTTCAAGGATCTAGACTTCAAAAGAGATACACTGGCTATATACCCAGCAGTAATTCTATAGCATTTTCTCTTAACAGTGCTTGCCTCATCAATTGGTAACATCCCACAGTGGAAATGAATAACTGAGGCCAGAGACAGGAATATGTGTAGAAGTGATTATTTGAAATAGGACTGAAAACCAATTGCCAGCAAATTGCTCTTCTAACATCAATTTTTGGATGAAATACAATTTGCAAGATTTTACATGTATAGAAAGATCTGTTTTAGTATTAATACCGTATTTATTTTGAAAACAAAAAAAAAAGCTACAAAAAATAAAAGAGTACGTATGTTCCTAACACATATAAAAATGATTCTTGAACAATTAAGACTGTTTTAGTTCCCTCACACATTACCTTCTATTCAGATTTAAACACCAAATATTTTAGTTTGCAAACTACAGCATGTAATACGGTCAACAAATGCTTAATAGTAATAAAATAATAAGGAATTATATATACAAATATCAAGGAAAATGGGTGAATTTCTTGAAAGGAAAGTGAGCTGGTAATAACAGGTGCTTACCAATTGATGAAGTATATCATGTTTTTTCTTATATAGGGAAAAAGGAAGCCAGCTTTTTAATATCTCAACAACGTTTGACAAGATGTCTTTCTGTAAAAAATAAAAAACTGTTTGAAGCCTTAAATATATAAACAGTCTTCATTACTTTCATCTGAAGATTATTTGCATTCTAACCAAGTTCAAAGAAACCATACTATAAAGCAGGCATGTCAAACTGAAAGTGTTTTTTTAAAAAAATATTACATTAAAAAAATAATATATTATCTACTTTACAATTCACTAAGACCTCAGCATCTTTTAAAATAAAATCTTATTTTAGAATGGTGTTTAAATGTCAATTAGTTAGCACTTGAAAATACGGCACGCCAATATTCTCTCAATATATACCTATAATAACTATCCCCTTATTATGTTATTTATGTATCTTGGAATGAAATCCTTAGATATAATTCAAACTGAAAGGATAATGACAAGTATTTTATTTATGCACACACAAAAATACAAGCTGGATCATGTCTCCCAAATAATACTCTCTTTGGAAGAGAACACCTCTTGTCTTCTGCCTGAGACAAGTTGCACTAATGCACATAAATTATATGTCTATTTTTACGGAGAGCTTGTCCACCCTGTACATAAATGTCCTTGTAAGACCCATCACAGAGTATTCCAAACCTTTATAAATCATCAGAAATCATGAAAGTTTGTGCAATTTTGTATTTTGTAATGGTCTTTAGAAAAGATTGATTACAGACTCACAATCTTCATCATCACGGGCCAGATGAGTCCCCAACATGCAACACTCAGTCTGCAGGGCCTCAAATCTTCATCATCATCTTTCAGTAAGTGCATTGTTCAATTTTGCATGCTAAATTCATATGTACTGTAGATATACTGCTGTATTTGAAAAGGGGGAAACAAGCCCTTCCTGTCACCAGTTCTGTGACTCCACTATCAGTCCTAGAGCCTATATTCCCCAAATACCATTACCTAGTATCAGATACAAAATGAGCCCATCTAAAGGAATTTATCAACAAGAACTTACAGAAAAGTTTCATCTGTCATACTGTCGTCCCCGGCAACGCTCTTAGGGGGTGGTAGACAACCCCCCCAGTACACCTCATCGCCCTCCTGCTGACCTGCCTGAAAAGGACCTGTCCCTGGTTCAGCTGATGCGATTGCTTTCACCGTTCAGTGGTGTCAGCCGCCCGGAGTTCTGGCGGAGCTGCAGCAGGTGGATGATGTCATCACTCAGCGTCTTGTAACAAGCACAAGTGCAGACGGAGGGGCTTTAAGACCTCGAAGGGACCGACAAGAGACTGAGGACTATTATAGAAAATATGGCCAGAGGGACTCTTGGGAGGAACGGAGGATTCGGGGCGCGGCAATTACATGTATTTATGTGTATTTGACCGGATGCTGGCTTACAGGGCGTTGGCTGGGTGGGGTTGATTCCACTGTGGGTGGGACGAGTAGATCTCGTATGTAAAGGCACTGGGAACAGGCAAGTTTCAATGCTGACTTTTTCCCATCTACAAAGCTTAGTAAAGTTCCTTTTGTTCATCGTTCCTGTTTGTGGCTTTCCTTTCCATTGCAGAGCACCAAGCTAGGACGATGTAACAGTAAGTCGGCACTCCCTTACTTGCCTTGCTGTCATTCTCATCCCCTTAGTCTTGGTTGTGAGGGTGTTTCCAGAACGGTCATGGCTGAAGGAGTCCAGGACGCCGACCCAGTGGGGGAGCTTCCGAAATCACCCACAGACAAGGGAATAGCCATTGAGGCGCAGGTGGTGGAGGCCTTGCTGGTGGTGCGGCCTAAAGAGAGCGTCCAGCAGCCGGTGACCAGTGGGGGTGAATCTGTACAGAGGACGTCTGCAACTACTTCTGAGGATTGATGGCTGAGTTCAGCCCTGCAACGTTCAGAGGTTGGAGGACCATATGTGACCGGCAGGGGGGGACCCCTTATCTGGATGGCAGGAGAGATGTGTTACCAGTGATGACGATGACGAGTGGAGTTATTCTACAGCACCTGGGCAATATACCTTGGATGTCCTTCGTGATAGGTTTGGGGAAACGGGTTATCTACCCAAGTCTGGTGGCGCTCCAGGGTCTCAGGGCCCAGCTGGTTCCTCTGGATTCTGTTTGACCAGCCCAAGGTTCAGGTTGGATCAGGGTCGTCATAGGCGAGAGGATCGAACCAGTGCAGCCTCAACAGCTTTACCTACCAGCCGGTCCATCTTGTTTTCTCAATCTGTAGGGTCAGGGGCCCAAGGCCCGAGTAGGGACATAAGGCCGGATAACAGCCAGTGGGCTGTACAGGCTCCCACCCTGTGACCGGCAGGCATGGCCTGGGTTCCGCCACCCATAGGAGTGACGTTTGATGGGGATCCGGATAGACTAGCAATGTTTATGGGAGATGTTCTGAGTCACCTGGATAGATTTACTCCACAGTATTCTTCCCAATGGGCTATTGTGGTGGCAATAACAGCAAGTTTACAAGGGGAGGTGGCTGCTTGGGCTGCTGACCTGTTTAGCCTGGGAGTTGGGTGACGTTGGACTGTTCCTTGACACACTGAGAGCTCGATTTGAAGACCCTACCCGGGTTCAATGTGCTGAAATGGAGGTATTGGGGCTGAGGCAGAGGGGGAGGCCCGTACGGGAATATGTACGGGAGTTCCAACGTGCTGCTGGCAGGTTAAGAACATGGCCAGAGTGTGTTCTGGTGTACCATTTTCGTAACGGGCTAGATAGAGACCTGTGACAAGCCTGCATTGTATGGGGTGTACCATGTAGGCTCCAGGAATGGTTCAGAGTTGTGACCTAACTGGATGCAGGATTGCAAGAGTTTCGACAGGTTACAACTGACCAGTCCACCCCCAGCGGGTAGGGGAGCGACCAAAAGAGCCTGGGCGTCAACCGCCTACCCCCTCACCACCTGTTTCTGCTCCAACGAATAAAGGGACATTTAGGTGGGTTTCAGGTGTAACCGGCCAGGACACTGGATAGCCGAGTGCCTGGTTCCGGCAGGGCAAGGCACCTCAGCAACCCAGGGGAGACTGGGGTCACCCCAAAGACGACTCCGGACCGTTCAAGAGCACTATGACAGACCGAAAGAGAAACTCCCCAACGACCCTCAGGGGAGGTAACACCAGCTGCCCCTGATATCCTCCTGGGGGAATATGACAATATGGATCCAGAAGACGATCCTATGGTAAGCCAGCCAATAGCACCATTTGCTATCCCAATCTCCCTGACAAGCCCTACCACAGGCCTGATTAGTGAGTACCAGGCATTAATTGATTCAGGTTGTACAAGATGTCTTATCAGCAAGAGGGTTGTAGAGAAAGTAGGTCTTAGGGTTAGGTGTCTGCTATGTCCAATCCGATTTGAACAAGCGGATGGGTCTCTTCTGGGGGGGCTCCAGTTACACTGGTAACGGAGCCAGTAAGGTTGGAAATGGGGGACCATTGGGAACTTCTCCAGTTTATTGTAGTTCCTTCCGTGACTGAGGAAGTAATTTTAGGGTTAGAATGGCTGGACAAGTGGGGACCTACCATATGGTGGGAGGGTGGTTGCCGCCATATGCGTCTTGGTGTTGGTCCTCGCCCACCATGGTTGGAGGAAGGTAGTGAGAACGGACCATCAGGGAAGGTCAATGCAAAGGACACAATAGAGAAAGGGGCTAAAGGAGCCGTACACCAACCAGATCAAGGTCCAGACTTCCCAGCAGTATATAACGATCTTGCGGAGGTATTTAGTGAACAGGAATGTGACAGCTTACCGCCCCATTGTTGGACTGACTGTGCCATCGATATTATGCTGGGAGCCAAATTGCTGAAGCTGCGTATGTACCCCATGACGCCCTGGGAGTTGGAGGAGTTAAGGCGTTACATCGACAAGAACTTGGTGCGGGGTTTTATACAGCCAGCCCGGTCTCGGATCGCAGCACCCGTGTTGTTCCAGGAGAAAAAAGATGGGGGTCTCTGACTCTGTGTGGACTTCAGAGGCATTAATACGATCTGTATAGAACATATGTACCTTCCTTTAATGAAAGACCTCCTAGCCCATCTAGCCCAGGGGAGGATCTTTACAAAATTGGATCTGCAGGAGGTTATTACCGGGTTAGGATTAAACCCGGTGACGAGTGGAAGACAGCATTCAATTGTCCCCTGGGTAGTTACCAATTCCGGGTTATGCCCTTTGGGTTGCAGGGTGCCCCCGCGGTTTTTATGCAACTCATCAATGGGATACTACACGAGCATCTCTATTGTGGGGTGCTAGTGTATTTGGACGATATACTAATTTATACAAACACAATGGAAAAACATGTCCGGTTGGTGCGCGATGTGTTGCGTAAATTGCTCGAGGCTCGGCTATTTGTAAAATTATCAAAGTGTGAATTCCATCAAACATGCCTCGACTATTTAGGTTACATGATATCTGCAGCAGGAATAGAGATGGATCCAAAAAAGGTGCAGAGTGTATTGGAATGGCAAGCCCCGCGAACCTGATGCCAATTACAAAGCTTTTTGGGTTTTGCTAATTTCTACAGACAATTCATTCTTTCCTTTGCTATGGTGGCTTTGCCTCTCACTTTGCTGTGGACCCAAACGAACACTGTGTGTCCATGCCCTGGACAAGGACTAGCCTGGAACACTGAGTGTCAGTCTGCGTTCGAAATATTGAAAGCCTTATTTGCCAAGGAACCTGTTTTACTACATCCAAATCCAGAACAACCATTTGTGGTACAGGCGGATGCTAGTGACGTAGCGGTGGGGGCAGTCTTCCTCCAACAAAACCCAAGCGGGAACTTACAGCCCTGCGCATACACATCACGAAAGTTAACTGAACCAGAGAGGGTGTTGGCCATCTGGGAAAAGGAGGCCTTCACGGTAAAGTGGGCCTTATCCACGAGGCGGCATTTATTGGAGGGGGCGAAACATGAATTCGAGGTTTGGACCGACCATAAAAACTTAGAGGTGCTGCAAACCCCAAGGAGACTCTCGCTGAAACGTGTGTTGGGCACAATACTTTCCGTGTTTCAGGTTTCATCTTAAACATGTACCAGGCGGTCGGAACTTCCTCGCGGATGCA